AAAATGAGTGCAATGATCATTTTGGATTATAGGTTTTATAGGCCAAGGCCTGGGGTTAATATGAAATGACTTATTTGCTCACCTGGCAAAGTTGCTGAAGCAAAGACACAAGGTCTTCTAAAAAGCAATTAGAATCAATACTATCCTGGGAAAAAAGTGTATTAAAAGTGACAAGCTTCTATGAAACAAATGCCATTTTATTATTCTACCAAGTCTTCATTTCTTAAATGTGCTTCAAGCTAATCATTAGCGTTTTATGAAACAGTATTAAGAAATTATGAGTAAGACTCTTACAAGGCTTAGGAAAATATGATATTCAGAAACAACAATATGAAATTATGATACTGTATGCTATATAAAACTACCTAACCTGAAAACCAAAATAGATAACACTAGCACTACTTGAAATTAGCTCTAAAACTTTGTAATGTGGTATACTAGAACTTAGGACAAGAGCAAGTCAGGTACCACCCGTGCTTTCAATTTTCAGTATGTTTTTCTCTAAGCATATGTTTGCTTCCTATCGACCTTTGACTGTTTTCCAGAGCTCCTAAACTTTTAGTCAGCCAGTTATTCCTTGTTTTCAGTTTTGTAGGGGAATGAGGACTTGGCACTTCCTCACCTGCCATTTTACTGATGTCAGGTACATCATTGCTTTTAAGGCATTTAAATCATAATTGTCCTATTATATTTACCTTTTCCAGATTAGATACATTTCTTTTTTTTTTAAAGATTTACTTATTTATTTATACAAGATCAGGGGTATAGACCAGATGTGCGGGAGGGTGAAAGAATTCACCAGAGACAGAGTGGGGAACAGAACAGTCAGACTGACTGAAATACACTGTTGAGGGGAGCAGTGGGCGTGACAGCAGAGGTATGCCACGCCATGTGGGATTCTCTCCGGCCGACCAGGATCAAACCCATGCTGCCGAAGCTGTGGACAGCTTCACAGTGTGGTGCTCAACTGCCTGCGCCACCAGGGAGGCCCCAGATTAGATAAATTTCTATCTTAAAATAATTTAAGGCACCAAAAATGCTATTGACTATCTAGCAGACATTTGTGAAGCAGACATCTCATTCAGGAAAAAAATTCTCTCCATACATTTTCAACTGTTATCAGCAATGTACCTAATAGTCAGGGAGTCTGAACCTACCTTCATAATTACAAGAGCAGCAGTTTAGGATTTTAGATTATCAGTACTTTGTTTTGACAACATTTAAGGATCTAATATTGCAATGGAAATTTAATTTAGAGGAATTTAGAAGAGCCAGGTTGTAATGAACCTGAATATTGATTTCAGTAGTTTAGAAAAGAGTTGGCTTAGTAGAGATGAGTTTGCTCAGGAGTCCCTACGTGGGGACCAGCTGCAGTGCTCCAAAAGCTCCTTTCCTTCAAAGTCACCTTCCCTAGGCTGCTTCCACTGTTGCATATTTGTATAGGTGCTTCAATCCTCCATCTCCTGAACTCTAAAAATATACAGAATACTGTGGAATTGATGCTTTCTTTTTACTGGAGTTTGGGTATAAAACTGAGAAGCCGAAATGTCAGACTCTAGAATAATAAGAGTTTAGGGAATCGTGTGTATTCTGCTACAGATATAATTGTATGTTCCCCCCATAGACTTTAATTTATATTTCCGTATGGTTATAGGGGTATGAGTGCACCTGCAGAGCAAGTGGCACATTGGCAAGCTGGTTATGCCAACGCCCAAAGGGAGTATAAGGCAGGTTGCAAGCACTGGGCGCTGGTATCTCATCTTGTTAGCTCTCAAAAAGGGAGGAAGTGTGTAATTACAGGCAATCATTAGGGATGTTATTTGAGCTAGGTGTCTGGCATGAAACCAAGGCTCACTTTGAAATGGAAAATGAAAAGACTCCACGTGTCAGTCAGTAGAAGCAGCAACACAGACATGAACATTTAAAACCCAAAGAGGGGAGATAGGAGACCAGGTACATCCAAATACATGGTAAGAAAACTGGAAGACAAGCCTGAAGACATAAGCCAAAAGGCAGCTAAGAGGCCAAAGACTACAAATTAAAACTTAGAATGAAAATTATACCAAAGGAAAACAAAATTTCAATGTATAACGATTTCAGATGAAGACAGCAAAGAAAATGGCAAGGCAGTATCAAAAAACACAGGCTAATAAAAGTATTTAAGAATAAGAACAGATGTTAATCCATTGATGAGTAATCAAGAGAAGTTCCAGACGCCATAGAGAAATGTCACTTAGGTGTGTTGTGATGTAGTTTAGAACTCCAAAACCCAAGATAAAACAAGTTGACATGCTCTAAGATTCTCATCAACAATAATAGAGTACAGATGACAATAGAATGCTATCTTCAAAATTGATAAGAAAGAATGCTATTACTCTTGAAATCTTCAGCTAAATTGCATTAAATATGAGGGTGAGATAAAAATGTGCTATAACAAAAGAATGAGTTCACTCTTCACAGAACCTGGAAAACAACTTAAGATGTTTACATCTCAGAATGCAATCATTATGCAATATTCATTCTCTTTTGTCTTACATTCAAGAGAATTCTATTTGGAATAGAATTTTACTGACTTATCCTTAAGCACTTATCTCTGTTGCCTCTTCTCATACATTTAATGACTTGCCCACAGTTTCTCATATTCTCCCTCCTCTGCATGTTTCCCTCTAAGTAGATGATATGTCTTCATTAAGTTTGGTATTGGCCAATTAGCTTGCTTTGGCCAAAGGCATGTGACATGACTAGATATGAACCAGGAGATAGTAGCTGTGACTATTAATTTGTGTGACATAGGCTTATAGTTTATAAGAGAAACCACAGGAATTAATTTATCTTTCTAGTGTTTGTCTATAATGAATAGAAATGATGGTCTAAGTTTTCATCAATACTATCTTTGAAGAGAGGAACAAACTTAGTTTGTAGAAACTAAGATGTGGCTATCAGGAAGGTAATTCTAGAAAGAGGAATGAGCAGTAGCCTGAAAATATCAGGGGGTTTATATCTGAATATGACCTATATTAACTCTCTTACGTGTACATAAGGAAATATGTAAGATAATATATAGTGAAACATTATTTAAATTAGAAAAAATAATAAAGGCTAAATTGTGGGATATTCACAGTGAAATACTATGTTGTTAATGAATGAGAAATACATGTAGCATCTTATATTTCAAAACTATGATTTTGAGTGAAAAAGCAAAATGAAAAAATTCATCCACATGCATATAAATCTAAATATTGAAAATTGTACTACCTGAATACATATTTGTGGAAAATTATCATCTGGGTCAAGAAATCATATGTTTGACAGGAGAGGATGTTTTATCCATGAGTGTTTTGTGAATATTGCTAAACTGAAAAATATAAAGTACAATAATTTAAAATGAAATTATTATTAATTTCACCTGTCTCAATGTTTTTTGAAAAAGAACTGGAGTAAATCTTTGTTAATTAATGAATAAATACAGACATATGAGTCAATACTCAGTATCTATGTATAGCGCCTTAAAAAAATAATTGTATCTCTAGAATACTTGATACACTTACCAGACATATTGACATAAAAATTATCATCACACCACGACTAACAAAATATTGGCTCAGGGAAATTATTTTTATGGACTTTCTGTACTCACGTATTTATACAGTCTTATTATGTGTATATATTATGGTTATATCACTGTTAGCTTAGGCATGGCTAATACTCTTACAAAATTACATTTTAATTCAAGGGTTTTGCTATTTGTATTGCTATTTTTTGTGATTAATAAATTGATTTAATATATATGTTTCTAACATAAATTATAAATTGATAACATGTTAATTACATTTATTAATATTTATTTCATAAATTCTTTGAATACTCCTTATAGGAATTTAATACTAGGACATACCATTTTTTTTTATTTTTCAATGAACATTTAGCATCAATATATGGCAAAAAAAATGTGTTTCTTTGTATAAGATAGTAATATTTATAGAATCAATAGTATTTTAATGTTGTGGTGATAGGCAATATCTAAATTAATATTCATTACAAATGTTACATCATCCTTTGTAGTCATAGTATTTGCTTTCTCATCCTTTAACTTTGTTATTGATTTAAAAAATAAATAACCTTATTTTATTCCTCATTTTATTATAAAACCACTTCAAATTATTTCAAGAAGCTGACTGGGGATACATGGTAAATAAATATGTGAATGCTTTTATCATAGCTTGTACATTTCACTAAGTTTTAGTCTTATTTAAAATAATAACCATATCCATGAGTAGCCCACATTCTTTTCTCTCATTTCACTTTAAATTATTGTACTTTATATTTTAGCTTCATGTGTTCCTTGGGGAGGGAGAAATTGAGTGGGTATTATGCTAACACTTGACTAATTCTGGTTTTGCTGAATATAAGAATGCAAACTTGACTTTCCTTGTTGAATATTCTGTTGCTATGGATGTAGAACTAATAAAATACTTTATATACAGATATCTACAAATTCTTTAATGTGGGCATTTTACATTCATCTTTATGTAACCTAGTGTTTCATTAGTAAGTAATATACTAATAATTAAAAAAAGTCTTGTATGCATTGCTTAATATATGTGCATTTGAATATATGGTCTTAATTTTTTTTAATTTTTTTAAAGTTTTTTTTTTTTTAAAGATTTTATTTATTTATACAAGCACTGGGTACAGTCAGAAGTGTGGGTGGGTGAGAGAATTCACCAGAGCCAGAGCGGGGAACAGAACAGGCAGAATGACGAAGTACACTGCTGAGGGGAGCAGCGGGTGGCAGGAGAGGTCTGCGCACCATGTGGGACCCTCACCCAGCGGCCGGGGATCGAACTGGTGCTGCAAAGGCTGTGGGCAGCTTCGCAACCAAGCGCTCAACCGCTGCGCCACCAGGGAGGCCCTGGTCTTAATTTTTTTAATGTTTTTTCTTATAATATTTACATTTTGTACATTATTATCAAATAAATTGCATATGAAATATTTTTCAGAGCACTATCAGCTTTATGTTCCTGAGTCAGCTCAAGTTGGTTCAGCTGTTGGAAAAATCAAAGCAAATGATGCAGACACTGGTTCAAATGCCGACATGACCTACTCCATCATTAATGGTGACGGCATTGGGATATTCTCCATCTCCACAGACAAAGAGACCAGAGAAGGAATCCTTTCCTTGAAGAAGGTAAGAAGAATATACTATCAGTGATTTAAGCAACTCACCTGTTTTTTCATGAATGGAAATTTGACAGAGATAGGAATAATCCATTTTGTCAGGTCATGAAAATAATCCATTTTCCAGGTGGTAATTCCTCTTTTGAGATGAACTGCATTTTAATTATAGGTATGTCTGCTCTTCAGATCATTTTGTATGAATTACATGTTGTTACAGTGGGAAGATCTGAGGTTGAACATGAATGTTCCCCACCTTCCCTACATCTTCTTTTCCAGATTTATCATGAATGCCAGTCTCATTGTTGTCATTGCTCAATGTTGTATTAAGCTGAGTAATATATGAAGGGCCTTTGCTAACTGATGTAAAAGTCTTCAACCATGTTAACTAACACTCAGGAGACAAAATTTTGCCTCACAGTCAGGATCCATGAAGACTGCTTTTGGAAAATTTTGACCCCTTTCTCTCTTTCTCTCTTTTTTTTTTTTTTTTTGTTCAAAGAATTTGTCATTGGGTTGAAGCTATTACTGTTCATTTCTAATAATAGTCCATAATACTTTCTAATAGTACATAATAATACTTCATGTCCTTGCAGAAATGAAGTGGAATACAGGTAATTTTACATTAAAAAGGATTTAACTATAGTACCTAGTGCAGTATGTTTCAGTCTTTCAATGTTTTATTGATTTCAGATTGGAAATTTAGTAATATTCAGATCCCATGGGCTACACCTGTATGTTTTGTTTCAAAATTACTGGAGTGGGAATAAGGAATTGGTCTTTTTAACAAGTAGTCTTGATGATTCCACTAAAATATGTTCAGAATACAGACTGAGAAACTGTATTGTGATGTGCTTCTAATGATATTGAAATAAATCTACCTGCTTATCAGTTATCTGCCTATCTATCTATCTATCTAGTTTGTATATGATTTTCTATTTGAATTATGTATAATCATATTAACTCTAATAATCAATGTACATTGATTTAAAATTGAGAATTCTCTCATTTTTTGGATGCCACATAGGGAGCCTGCAAAGTAGAATATAAAGTGTGTACATATTTAAAGAACAGAAGTCATCATGTAAAATATTGTAGCTTCATCTGGGTAAAATATTGGTGTCTTTGTCTAAAATATTTTCTCATTTTAATCTCTTTTCTGAGATTATGCAACCATGGTTCAAAATGTGATAATGAGAAGCTGATTTTAATATCTTTATTTAACAGATATATGTATTTTGAATGTTTCCTGTGCCAATTGTTGCACTCTAGATGAGCCATCCAGGGTTGAGTACCACCAGATTTAATAATGATCTGAATACAATTTCTAGTTTGTACAGTTTGGAGGCAAACAGACAGCCATTGACTATAGCCTTCATTCCTAGGTCAGTAATAAAAAATTCTATGAAGGAGAATTATACAGTAATATTGAGAAATATTTAGGATATTTGATCCTGTCTGATTTTCAGTGATGGTTAAAAACAGCACTGAGTGTGATTATGGTGTTAGTGACATAAAGTTTATAAGGATGAGAATTCTAGAAAGAGAAAATAAAGTGTATAGAACATGGCACATTTAAGGTGCCAAAATAACATCATTTAATCAAGAGGCAGAAAGTTGTGGGTACAAGAACACACAATGTCTTGCTGAATTTTTTTCGATTGAGAACCATTGAAGTTATCTAAATAGGAAGTGACTAGGTCTCAATAGATGTCAGTATTCTGATTAACTGATATAAACTACATGAGGACAACACTGTTTATTTCATCAATGCAGGCTCACCTTTTAGCATGGTTTCTCGCAATGAACAGGCATGTAATAAGTGTTAGAGTAGTTATTAGGTGTGAATATGGATAAATATATGAGATAAGGATGATAGCCTGCTTTTAATTCCTTGGATGATTTCCTCATTTAGGAAAATTATGGTAAATGGATCAATTCTTTCTAAAAAATGAACTTTGCCATGTGAGAGACACCAACATTTAAGAAAAGAAGACAAACAGGAAAGAAAAATGTTCCTTGAAGAAAGCAGAAGAATATTTTCAAAAAGAGGGGAGAAGATAGTGATTAAAAAAGTGAAATAATATAGAAATTAAAAAGATTTTAAGATTATAAATATTAATTGGATTTGATAAGGAGGACAGGGTAATTGTCACTAGCAGTTTTCAGCTGATTATCATCATCATCATTATCATCACAAATAACAGTAACATGAATTAATATTTTTGATTGTTTCATCTGTGTCAGGTGGATTGTAAACATCTTTCCCAAGTCTTGATTAAGTGAGTACAAATATTATAATCCTTTAAATCTCACCAGGATATGATGATATAGGGAGTGTTATTATCCAAACAAGAAACAGAATCTCAGCTAACAGAATGGAATCAACGAGATAAAGAATTACACTCAAATAGAATTTATATAACATCATACTCAATGGTGAAAAACTGAAAACATTTTCTGTAAGATCAGGGAAAAGATAAGGATGTTCGCTCTCATCACTATTGTTCAATATAGTATTTAATGTTCTAGGCAGATTCAAAGGAATCCAAATTAGAAAAGATGAACTGAAACGATTGCTATTTACGGATGACATAATAATATATAGAAAATTTGAAAGATTCTACCAAAAAATAACAAGTAATACATGAATACAGTAAAGTTGCAGGATACAAAATCTGTACTCAAAAATATATTGTATTTCTATATACAAATAATGAATTAGCAGAAAGAGAAATTAGGAAAACAACCCCATACAATTGTATCCAAAAGGATGAAATACCTGGAAGAAAACATAACAAAAGTGGTGAAGGACATATATATATATATATATATATATATATATGGCCTCCCCGGTGGCCCAGCGCTTGAGCGCTGGGTTTTGAAGCTGCCCGCGGCCTCTGCGGCGCCGGTTCAATCCCCGGCTGCTCCCCGGCCACCGGAGGAGGGTCCCACATGGCGCACAGACCTCTCCTGCTGCCCACTACTCCCCTCAGCAGTGTACTTCGGTCCTTCTGCCTGCTCTGCTCCCCGCTCTGGCTCTGGTGAATTCTCTCACCCTCCCGCGCTTCTGACTGTACCCAGTGCTTGTATAAACAAAAAACAAACAAACAAATAAATAAATAAAATAAAACATGCCTCTATATAAAAAAAATGTAAAATGCCATTAAAAAAAAATATATATATATAAATGATTTGAAATACCAAAGTTATGGTAGTATAAGAACAATGAGGATCTTACCATCCTACATGACTGAAACTACTTTAACTTTGTCTGATAAAAATAAAGACAAAATAGTATATGTGCGTGTGTGAGCACATGTATTTAATCAACGTTCTTCATTCTGTATTACACACACACACACACGTGGGTATTTTCAAGATAAGAATTGCTTAGTTGTGGGCCTCCCCTGGTGGCACAGCAGTTGAGCGCTGGGCTGCAAAGCTGCCTGCAGCCTCTGCAGCACTGGTTCCATCACCGGTGAGGGTCCCACATGGCACGCAGGCCTCTCCTGCCACCCGCTGCTCCCCTCAACAGTGTATTTCAGTCAGTCTGACTGTTCTGTTCCCCGCTCTGGCTCTGGTGAATTCTTTCACCCTCCCGCACTTCTGACTGTACCCAGTGCTTGTATAAATAAATAAATAAATCTTCAAAAAAAAAAGAATTGCTCAGTTGTATAAATGATAGTGTGGTGGTGTGCCAAAAATAATCTTGACTATTAATGAACTCAAATTGTTGTTCTCTTTTTTCCCTGAATACACTTTCCAGACTTTCTGAGCGATGCATTAATGTTTTCATTCACCTAATTTTTTGATCCTTCAGATTAGGATTTTCAATCTCAGGCTTGCTTTATCACTCTGTTTTGTGTTATAAATAATTGCAATTCGAAAATGGAATTGTGTAATTCAAAGAGTTTTAACCTTTAAGAGACACTGGCTGAGATGAGGAGAAATGGATAAAACAGTCCTTTAAAATCAATTCCTTACGTCATCTCTACAGCAACTCACCTTAGCCAGCAAGGCACAGCAACCCATCTTCCCAAAGATCAAAATCAGTGCTTCTCAATAAATCAGTTTGCAGGAGCTTCTGCACATTCCTGTCCATATCAGCCCTTCATCAGAAAATTGCCAGGTGAATTCACTGGTCCATAGTGTGGTACATTGTAAATACACTTTGATAACTTTCATTCATTGTTTAATGGAGCCTGACTTGGTGGAAAGAGGAAAGAAGATAAGGATGAATGCAAGTTGATGCACTCTTTCCTGTGACATATAGCTCTGTAGCGAATGATGTGCTCCTAATCAGTTTTTCTAGCAATCTCTTCTTGTGGGCCCTATAAGATTTGTACTTTTTTAAAAAAAGATTTATTTGTGTATGCATACACAAGAACTGGGGTGTAAGCCAGAGGTGTGGGGTGTGAGAGGATTTTCCAGAGAGGGTAGGGAGCAGAACAGGCAGATCTACTGAAATACACTGCTGAGGGGAGCAGCAGGCAAGACAGGAGAGGTCTGCTGTGCCATGTGGGTTGCTCCCTGGCTGGCCCGGGATTGAACTTGTGCTGCAGTGGCTGGTGATAGCTTGATAGAGCTGCCTTTAACACCTGTGCCACCAGGGAGACCCTAAAATTTGTACTTAGTAGCAGATTTTTATATATGTGTATATGATTATGTGTATATTTACATACGATAATATTTAATTCATATATAATTTATAATTTATATATATAATATGTAGTATGTACATATTTCTTCTATATATTTCTTCTCTGTGTGTTTTCTTCCTCTATTTGCACCAAATTTAAAGGACACTTTACAGACCTCTTCCAAGTAGTTATTTTGTTGCCCCCCCTCAATTCTGTGGTATCCAGTTCACCCATAAACACCCTGATATATCACAGGCACATGCTAGCAATCCTCTTTTTTGTAATCTACCTCCCCTTCCTTCATCTGTCAAGGAAGATTACTTTTCAAAGTTCAGGTTTAATGTTATATTTGTAGTGCAACAGTTCCGGC